TATTAAATAATTTTTTTAACTTTTATTTAATGAATATAAATTTCCAAAGTACAACTTTTGGATTATAGCAGTTTTTCTCCCATAACCACCCTTCCTCCTGTAACCATCCCATCCCCCACTCCCTCTCCCATCATCAAGATTCATTTTCAATTATCTTTATATACAAAGATGAGTTTAGTAGATACTAAGTAAAGATTTCAACAGTTTGCACCCACACAGAAACACAAAGTATAAAGTACTGCTTGAGTACTAGTTATACCATTATTTCACATAGTACAACACATGAAGGACAGAGATCCTACATGGGGAGTAAGTGCACAGTGACTGCTGTTGTTTATTTAACAATTGACACTCTTTTTTTTGTTTCTTTCCAAATCTTCAGAGAAATTTCATTTGCCAGTGGTAGAAAAGAACACTGCACAGTGGGCCATGTTCCCAGAAAACCAGAATTAAATTACCATTAACTTCAAATCCAAAGACATGTACATGACCACAGGATATTTCCATCAACAATTAAAATTAAGTGAAGACCAGACCAATATTTATTCTATACACCTCCCATTCATGTGCTTGCAATTGAGGATATCTTGGGCATTTTTTTTTTTAACCAATGACTAGATTCTTTGAATGTATAAGATAATCCAAAAGCAAGACAGGTCTCTAATGACTCCCAAATGTCTATTTAAAAGCTATTAAGTGAAAAATGAAATGGAGGACACTCACAATAATTCTTGGACTCCTGGAGATCCTAAGACATGCTACAAAAATAGGTATTTATTCTTAGGAAAATAGTCAGAGCTAGCTTTCTTATGCTATACATAAAATCTTAACATCAGAGGCAGTACAGATAGTACAGATAGTTTTGAACTGATCTCCAAACAAGCACAAATCCACTACGTTTAAAAGAACAGTTAATTTGAGGTTTTTGGCAAAAGACAGTACTTCACACATCTAATCCAAATCAAAGAGCCTGCAGACAGTTTTCAGTGAGATGAAAGGAATGAAATAAATGTAAATTCTATGGATAAATAAATGTCAGACAATTTAAATAAGCTAACGGAACTAATATTTTTAAACAAAAATACTAGTCAGGTAACAAGCTTTTGTTTCTCAATGTCAGACTCTAAATGTTTACCAGACTACTGTTAATATCATTAAAAACCTAATCTTTGACCCAGAGTGTTAGTAATACTGATTTGCATTTGCAAAAAGATTGTTTTTCCAACTGAATGCTTCTGGTCCTCAAAGGTATTTTAATATTACTGAAGGCAGACTGTGGAGCTAACAAAATTTAAGTCTCAAGTACTTTTTTTTAAAAAAGTGACAGACTCTAAAGTCAGTCTACTAATTTGCCCAGGTAAAAAATGCAAGAATTGGTTATAAGTAGCATATTTAGTGGCATGCCCTATTGAGTGGTATGGTTACTAAGTAATAACTACACCTTAAACACCATCCCAGTCTGTTTCTTTTATGTATTGCTACTTATTCATTAACTTCATACCCACCACTGAGTTCCTATGGCCAGGTAAAAATTTTATGGTATGCACAAAAAACTGTCATGGTGGGTACTGTTCAAAGTTCTAGAGACTGGAACAATCATTTATTGTAGGATTAGCTCCCTCTCCTAAATGCATGAAGCCGTTCTACTTTTCTGTTTCTCCCCTTAAAATAAAGGCTACATGTCATGGTGATCTTTTGCCACATTTGGCTATGTGAAAAAACTTGTAATGAATTTGTCAATTTTGCTCATCTAGCTTGAAGTTCAACCTAATTCTTTTCAAATATCTTATACAATGGAATGCCCCAGATTACCCCATTAATCCATTTCTATGTTGTTCCTATTTTATGAGGAAGATGTTTTACTTTTTTTGTTAAGATTTGTTATCAGTAGAAAAGTTTGTCATGTTACACATGTTACCATGAGAGTGCAACAGCTCTTGTTTGTGAATTCTCCCTTCTTTTTAAACATCTGATTAAGTTGCAAAGGCTGAAAATCTTCCACAAAAAGCATGCTTGGAAGAATAGAGACAACACAGTTTTCTCACAAAGTAACTTTCTGAAAACTGATAAAACTAAATTTATGAACACTTTTGATTGCAAGTAGTCTGCAGAAACAAAATCTTATGTATGTTTGGGTTAGGTAACTCAAGTTTTCTTTTTAACAATCAGAATGTTTTAAGGAAACATTTTAGATCCCAAGAAAGGGACCTGACTCTTGGATTTAGGACCCTTTCCTTGACAATATGTACAAAATTTCTTTAACTTGCCATGTGTCCATTCTTTGAAGCTGTCAAAGCCAAGAACCCATAAACAAATCACAAATAGCAATAACCTACATTAATTAACATCCCCCCTTTAACATGTTGACATTTTTACTAAAGGATTATTTTTGCATTTCCATTTCTTATATCCCATGACATTCCATAAAAATTGCATTATTGCTTTATAGGCCACACAACATTCAAAAGTATGTTTAGATGCATTGCCTATTTTCCTTGATGTCTGTTAACAGTTTGATACTCATTTTACTACACAAATTTAAGGTTGAAAATACCTGTTAGTATTTCTTGTCAGAACTTAATTGTTCACATCACTAATCACTACAAGCATATTTAGCTCTGATTATATTGCTCAAAAACTGCACCCATTATCAGAACAGTGCAAATGATATTTAATTTTAAAAGTAATTATAATGGCTTGAATTCAAAGTTATTCAAATGAATACTGTCAAGTAATTTCACTTGAGTGTATACATATTTCATCATCAGTGTTTACATTACCCTTCTTTACGTATAACCATCAATTCTTCACAATTTCTTTTCATCAGTTTTCTTTCCCAAGTCCCCAAACTGAGAATGCCAAATAGTCTTGGAAGTCCACAGCTACGTATTTTAATGTTTTCTTAAGAATACATTTGTGAACTCACAAAAGTGTTCATCTTTCAACTTTGAAAATGCAGTTTTTAGTTTGTCAAACAATCCTGTTCTAAAATCCCAACAAATAAATCTGAGAATTAACTTAAACACCTTGACAGTGTCCCTTAAAAATGGTATGACAGTAAAGTGCCCATAGGCATGGCAATGACCTCTTGGATGGGATCATTTAACTCCTTGGAACTGGAAAATACCAGTACCAAGGATTACACTGAGATTCAATTTTACTGAAGGCTACATTTAGTTTACTCACTTTCCACAACCTAGCATATTCATTATGGTAGAATGAAATGTAAATGTTTTGTGTAGCCCTCAATCTCACACTAAGATTTGAGAGAGATGTACTTTTAAAAAGCACGGGGTAATAATATATAAAATCAGTGGCAGAAAGTTTCATTAAGCACCAAGAACTAATTTTGTCACCCCATACTCATTTTGTAGGTAAGTTTCAACAACCGGCAAGGCACATTTACATATATTCCAATGAATACTTATTGACAAATTTTTAAATTACACTCTATGTCCCAGCTATCCCAGTAACTGACATACAACATACCAAAATGGTTTATTAAGATAACAAAAAAACAATTAATGTAAAACATACAGGCTATTGGCAACCACTATTCTAAAATTATGTAAGTACAAATAAACATACTGAAATGTGTGCAATTCTAAATTTTTAAACCAGAAGATTTCTACACTAACACACATTTATATTAATACACATAAAAAATAAAAACTTTATAACAAAAATAAGTTACACTCGCCTCCAGCTTACAGTATAAAACAATTTTATTTGCAGGAATGCAAAATGATTGTTTGCCATGAGCATTTTGAACATATGACATGTCTAATTTTCTTGTTAAATTTGCATTTACTGGGGAACTGGTGTGTATAAAACCTTAATTAAGTATAAGCTCTGATCTTCATCATGATGCCTATTGGGTTTATGTGATATAACTACAATATCCCTTTGGGGAAGGGGAGAAGGGATTTATTTACACAAAGTCCTAATTAAACTATAATTTTACTTTTGACTTTAAGCTATCAACTTAGGACTTGGCAAAAAAATTTTTGAGGGTGATTCAATAGAGGATGCTTCACCACTGAACACTCACTGTCATCAAGGTGCTTTAGAAAATTAAAAACATAGCACAAATGATTGTACTCTACTCTACAAGTTACCATGACCTGCATAGGAAATGGAAAGCTGATTCACATTTTTACAGTGATCAGCAGTAAGAAATGCACTAATGAAACATACCTTTTACCTAAAAAGCTAAACTACAGCCATATACTAATTTCTATGATTTATGAAAAAACTTCAAAATATCCAAATGTCAGGCTTTGCTGTACAATTGTCAGTTTTAGTCTGACTTTTTATAAAGGGACACTGCAGTATTTAGTACAAGTTTGGATGGACTTTTTTTGAACATCTGATGTCTTACAAAAGTAACATATTGCTAAACTATTATACATCCAAATAACTACAATGTATGAAGAAGCAAGGCTGCTTTTTCAGCCACAAAATATGACAAAAGCAAGGCCTGTTATGATGGTCATGAGGAAAGTCTTACAAGCCTCTGAAACTAAAGGCAACTAAGAATGCTACATTTGGTATATTAAAATCTTACCCTCACATCATATTTAACAAGCCTTGCTTTTATCTACAAAGATTTTTCTATGTACAGTACAGCCAGGGTATAGTTCAATCCTCTGCTACTGTGATAGTTAACCAACCCTTTAAAAAAGATTCCGAAAAGAACCACTATCTGGAATGCCTGACTAACCAGCCCTGATGATTACACCTGAAACTGCATATCTGAACACAATTCAAAAGTGATTATTACTATAAAAAGATATAGACAATCATGATTAACCTTGGTGAGTAGAAATAAAATTTAAGGATACCAATAGTGGAATTCATCTATACCATGGCAATAAAATTTAAATGCACAAATTCAAGGTAATATTTCAGAATACCACTGCTGGGATCCTTAATTTTAAAAAACAGGGGAAAAATCTACTTAGAGCAGATTTTTTAAAGAGAAGAACTTTATTCTTTATTAAGCGATCATGCTAGAAGTTATGAAGGATTTCTGTTGGAACACATTTGGAAAATAGAGTAGCTTTAGTTTAATAACTTGCACTGCATAGAAAATTGTTAAAGAAATTCATATCAAAGTCCAAGTATTAGTTCAATGTCCCGTATTTGATTCCATGATCTTCATAGGAAGGTCTTCTGCAATAGAATATGCTCCTATACAGCTGAGATATTTAAGGTTGCTTGATTTCCTTACCATTACTCCACTGCAAGCTTCTGGTGTAATCCCACATAGCAAGTCAGTCTTCATTGTAACAGGTCAGGACAGGCCTCGACCCCTTTTCCCTGCCCGTGGTCTCTTTGTTGTTGGACACCTCCTCTCACACCACCAATGCCTCTTGCTGATCCAGGACCTCCTTTCTGTGAATAACCGGCTCTACCACAGGGAGGAGCAGCCCCATGACCTCTAGATGGAGTAGCACCCCTTACTCCTCTACCACCCCTTCCTCTAGCTCCAACTTGAAAATCTTCATAACCATAGTATGGATCTTCATATCCACCATGATAGTTATGGTAATCATAGCCAAAATAATCATAATAATCTTCATATCCATAATAATCTGGAGGATATCCATAACCACCTCTACCTCCACGCCCTCTACCTCTTGTTGGAGGGGGCATATGAATTGGACCATAATAGCAGTAATCATCATACATCTGATGGCTGCTTGCCTCTGAGCTTTTCTTTCTTTCCTTTTCTGATCTGGTGGCTTAGCAAAAACAATTTCAATGTTTTCTCCCTCCAAGTCTTTGACATTCATTTCTTCCATAGCCTTAACTGCACCATCTCGTTCATCAAAATGAATGAATGCATAATCTTTCAGTTTCCTTATTCGTTCCAGTTTTCCAAACTGACTAAATGCCTTTTCTAAAATCTCTTCTGTTACAGTATTGGCAAGGTTACATACAAAAAGTACCTTCACCTTTGCCATAACCTCAGGATCAGGATCTTCTATAGGATCAGCCCATTCAACAGTTCCAACATTTTTCCAGACCTTGACTTTACCACTAATTAGCCTACACCTTGCCTGGGCAGCTGTTTTATGATCTTCATATTCAAGAAAGCAAAAGCCTCTGTTTTTTTTTTTTTCTTGTCATCTGGTTGGTGGTATAAAATGACGTCTGTAAGACCCTCTGTTACTTTGCTAAATTCTTCAAGAAGCTGTTCCTTGGTTTTACTCTTAGGAATAGAGCCCACAAAAAGCCTATTGTTGGCAACCGAGATGCAGACACCAATATGTTTTCCAGAACGAATTTCATGATTATTATACAGTTTAAAAGCCTCCTGAGCTGCTTTTTTTTTGTACAAATAGTGACAAATGCATAACCTCTATTGAGACCAGTGAGTGGATCCATCATAAGACGAAGATCCCAAATAGGTCCAGCTTTCTCAAATAAAGGAACAAGCACATCCTCAAATAGATCACTTGGGATCTTCCCCACAAATATCTCAATGCCAACAGAAGGCTGCTGACCTGAATAAACAGAATCTGGAGGCGGTCCCCCATACTTCCTCTGTCCAGTGGTCACATCAAGTGTGTAGCCTGTTCTTCCCAAGAGTGCTTTAATTTTTGCCTCATCTGGTCCTTTACTAGAGTCCGCTACTTTGGTCCCCTGTTTTTCTCTCTGCCTGTAAGTCTTCATGACTCCACATAAAAAGGCACTTTTGTTCTGAACATGAGAGAGATCACTGTCATTAAACTGCTGAAAAATTGCCAATGCACCGTCTTCATTGAATTCTTTCAAAGCTTCAATAGCTCTTTCATCTAAATCACTATGTGCAACTAGCCCTCCCCTTTGGGCTATGGCCAAGGAATCCTGTCCCAGGGGATCGGGTTGCGTGCTCGCTGCTCCCTGTGTCCCTGCAAGTGGAGCTGTTGTAAAATGGCGGCCAAAGCTCATACCGCTGGCAGCAAACCCGATCCAGTTACACTCGCCTCTGAGAGTGCTCCCTGTGCGCATGCGCGCCCCCGCGTGACCCCCCCTTCCCTCCCCTCCCTCGCGCATTTGCTTCTCTCATTCACTCCCTCAGCCCCTGCCCTCCACCTGCTCCTCCTTCTCCCCTATCACCACCACCAGCAGCAGCAGCAGCAGCCGCCGCTGCCTCCGGCCACCTTCTCCTCTTGGCCTTTCTTCTTCCCTCTGTGTTCCTTCCCTGCCGCCCCCACTCCCATCCGTGGTGCCTCAGGCAGGAGTGGCAGCTTTGCCCCTTCTCGCTGACTCCTGGCATGCTCGCTCACTGCTCACTCACTCCCTCTCTTGCTCTCTCGGCCCTGTCCCCCAGTCCCTGCCAAGTCTGCTCCTCTCATTCTCTCTCCCCCAGTTGACACTCACTGGAGGCTCTTGTCATGAGCTGCCAAGGTATGGATGCCGCTTGAGTTCACCAACTCTGATCTTATTTACACAAGGCCACAGCCAAAGTGGAAGCTCTCTCCTCCCTTCAGAGAAAGGTACCTCCTTCTTTGATGGCCCATTCTTTCCTCTGGGATCTCACTGACAGAGATCTTTCATTTAGGCTATTTTTTTTTGCCAGAGTGTCTTGGCTTTCCATGCCTGAAACACTCTCATGGGCTTATTAGACAGATCTGAATGCCTTAAGGGCTGATTCTGAGGCCAGAGTGCTGTTTAGGACATCTAAAATCCTATGAGTCTGCTGTGTATCCAACTTCCCATGTTGTATAATTTTCTCATTTTAATTCTATCAGTTAATATTAGCAGACACTAGTCTTGTTTATGTGATGATCCCTTTGACACTTAATTCTCTCATTATGATCAATTATGAACTGAAACTGATCACTTTGACTAGTGAGATGGCGTTGGTACATGCCACCTTGAAGGGATTGAATTGGAATCCCCTGGCACGTTTCTAACTGTACAGTTTGGCACATGCTCTATTGGACTTACCCCAAATAAAATAAATCTTAAAAAAAAATAAGTTCTGTAGATACCAGCTAGGTACATTTTGTCCAGAGTTTTGATTAGCTCTTGTTTCTTTACTGATTTTTTGTCTAGTTGATATGTCCATTGAAGAAAGTGGGGTGTTGTTGATGTCCTCCCTTACTATTGTGTTAAATTGATTGTCTCTGGCCGGCACCGTGGCTCACTAGGCTAATCCTCTGCCTTGCAGCGCCAGCACACTGGGTTCTAGTCCGAGTTGGGGCACCGGATTCTGTCCCAGTTGCCCCTCTGCCAGGCCAGCTCTCTGCTGTGGCCTGGGAGTGCAGTGGAGGATGGCCCAAGTGCTTGGGCCCTGCACCCACATGGGAGACCAGGAGAAGCACCTGAATCCTGGCTTCGGATCAGCGTGGTGTGCTGGCCACAGTGCGCTGGCCACAGCGGCCATTGGAGGGTGAACCAATGGCAAAAGGAAGACCTTTCTCTCTCTCTCTCTCACTGTCCACTCTGCCTGTCAAAAAAAAAAATAAATTGATTGTCTCCCTTTAGATTCATTAATTGTAATAATTTAATATCCAGATACCCTTTACTACTGAATTCTACAAAATATTTAAGAAGAACTAACTCAAACACCTTTTAAATCATATACAAAAATATGAATAGGATGTGAATCTGCCAAACCTCTTACAGATCACTCTGATACCAAAACAAAACAGGACACAATATAAAAGCAAAGCTACAAATCAATGTCATTGGTGAAAATAGATGCAGATGTTATCAACCAAAGCCTAGCAACCCAAATCCAACACATCTACAAGATAGTTTATCAGATCAAGTGTGATTTATCTAAGAGATGTAGAGGTGATTCAACCTTCACAAATAAAAATCACCATAAACCATATCAATAGAATGTACAAGAAATATAAGCATCTAAATATATGAGGAAAAGCACTTTGCAAAATTCAAGAACGCTTCAAGCTAATGGCCCATCAAAAATTTAATATAAGAGCTGACCTCAAAATTATAAAGGCTACCTTTTGGCATCTTGTCAAAATCATACTGAATGGGGAAATGCTGAAATCATTTCCTCTCAGGTCTGGAACAAAACATTATTAGTTTCAACACTGTTATTAGTTTCAACACTGTTATTCTGTATGATATTAGAAATATAAAGAGGATCAAATAGGGAGGAGAAAGAAAGGCCACAAAATTGGAATGGAGAAACTCAAAATATTCTTGTTAGCAGATGATGTTATTGTATATGGAAAAATCTAAACCCTGCACAAAAATGTTCTTGGAACTGATAAATCAGTTCAGTAAAGGTGTATTTTACAAAAACAACATGAAACAGACAGTTGTTTTTTCATGTACTAGTAATGAACTCTGTGAAAGCAAAATCATGAATAATCACCATTCATAACAGCTACAGTCAGATATTTTGTAATGAATTTTACCCAAAAAAGTGAAAGATCACTACAATAAAAATTATAAAATATAAATGAAAGACACAAATATGGAAAGATGTTCTTAACTGAAAACAAAAATTCTACTGCACAAATATCTAAAGCAGTGGCTTAGACATAGAAAAATACTACAAAATGATGATATAAATTGAAATGTTTAACTGTATTTCATTCACAAATGATACTGTGATTTTTAAAGATTTTAAACAATTGACTTGAAAGGTGGAGTTAAAGAGTGAGGAAGATAAAAAGATCTTCCACCTGCTGTTTTACTCTACAAATAACTCTGGTGGCTGATGGTTGAGCAGTGACAAAAACAGAAGCCTATAACTCAATCCAGTTCTCCCACATGGGTGACGGGGCCCAAGTACTTGGGCCATCATCCACTTCTCTTCCAGGTGCATTAGCAGGGGGTTGGATTGGAAGTACAGCAACCCAGATTTGAACTGACACTATGAATGGAATGTCAGGATCGTAATCATGGTTTACTCTGCTGTATTACAATGCTGGTCCTGACAGTTGTGTTTTTTTAAGCAATGGGGTAACACAATTAGATATACATTTTAAAAACATATATGAACAGCTACAAGTCTGGGCAAGGATTTGGGAGGCAGAGTGGCAAAGAACACATTTCAAAGGTTACCTCAGTATTCCTGGTGATATATAGCATACATTTGACCTTGGATAAAGACACAGGAGAAGCAGAATCAACAAAAATGGCCGAGAATGACATTCACACTGAGAAGAACACAGAATACACTGGGAAGTATCTTAACTCCTTGTATGAGAGTTATAATACACGATTCTCATTCAATTTTAATATAAAGCAAATTTCTGAAATGACCAGCACTAATGTATCAGTGTTCCACGTGCAGTGCTAAGCAATGTGCGTAGATATTTTATAACTCTAGCATATATAAAAAGTGGCCTTATATTCATTCAGTATTCTTACCTTCACAAAGCATTTCAAGTGGTTCAGGCATCAACACAGAAATTTAAAGTAAGACCACTCATAATATTCTGGGGTGTTTCAGATGACAGTGAGGTCACCATGGCCATTTGTAACAATCATTTTGTTGTTGTCCTTTAACAATAGTTATACCATATACTTAAATGATAATTATTTTATATGAGCAAAGCCATATGAATTTCTTCAAAGAATGATTTATTGTAAAATGATACTTTCTTTATGAAATTTTCAAAGCTATTATCTTTGATGACAAGGTTATTTTCCACTGTACCTTTCATGATTTATTTTTATCTGTATTTTTTTAAAAAACAGCTATTTATTTACTTTATCTAATTGAAAGGCAGAGCAAAAACAGAACTAAAAGAAAGGAACAGAGATCTTCCATCTGCTAGTTCACTCCTCAAATTACCACAACTGTCAGGGTTGGAAAAAGCCTTAGCCAGGATCAAGGATCCAAGATCCAGGGCTCAGATATGTCTCCTTGTGGGTGGCAGTAGCACAAACTGTTGAGGCATCATCTTGAGCTTTAATGTATTGTTTAACCAGGGAGCTGGGTTGGGGTGGAGGTGCCAGGACTGCAATCAGCACTCCAATACCAATGTGTGCATTTTAAATGGTGTCTTTTTTTTTAACTTTTATTTAATGAATATAAATTTCCAAAGTACAGCTTATGGATTACAATGGCTCCCCCCCCATAACGTCCCTCCCACCCACAACCCTCCACTTTCCCTCTCCCTCCCCCCTTCCATTCACATCAAGATTCATTTTCAATTCTCTTTATATACAGAAGATCAGTTTAGCATACATTAAGTAAAGATTTCAACAGTTTGCACCCACATAGAAACACAAAATGAAAAATACTGTTTGAGTACTAGTGTCTTACACCACTGTGTGAAACTTACCCCTGGCTTATATTCCCCGCAATGTACCATTTTACCTTTTTAACATTTTGGGCTTAGGGAAGTAATTGGCCTTATTTTATAAATGCATAATATATTACCTCACCTAATTTTGTTGTGTGGATTAAAATTATTTTAACACATCACACGTATTGCTTGTGTAGTAAATCATGAAAAAAGACAAAACCATAGATCGCTAGGATCTTATGCAGAGAAACACATAAGAATTATTTTCCAAATAGATTTAAGTACCCATAAAACTTGTTCTCAGGCTGGCGCTGTGGCATGGTGGGTTAAAGCCCTGGTCTGAAGTTCCAGCATCCCATACGGGCACCAATTCTAGTCCTGGCTGCTCCACTTCCAATCCAGCTTCTGCTATGGCCTGGGAAAGCAGTAGAAGATGACCCAAGTCCTTGGGCCCCTGCACCCATGTTGGGGACCCAGAAGAAGCTCCTGGCTGCTGGCTTCAGATCAGCTCAGCTCTGGCCATTGTGATCATTTGTGGAGTGAACCAATGGATTGAAAACCTCTCTCTCTTTCTCTGGCTCTACCTCTCTCTCCTCTAACTCTGCCTTTCAAATAAATAAAATAAATCTATAAAAAAAACTTGTTCTAATTGAATACATTAAACATATTCAAGGTTGCGCATTTGATATAGTGGCTAAGATACTACTTAGGACATTTGCACCT